GTCGCTCGTTTCTCTCGATCGGCTCATAATTTCAGACTAGTGTGATAAAGAAAAACTTTGCTGACTTGTTACAGAATAGCTTTTTAATGCCTTATTTTATGTAATAAGTGAATATTTGCGGGATGAGCAGAGGGAGTTCTTGCAACATGAATGAGCAAGCAAGCACGTTAGGACACTTTTCATTATTGTATAATTTCTCGCTATTATCAAGGGCAGGGTATATACTTAATTCTTCCAACTATATTCTACGCCATAGTGACATATTTGTTTCATCCTTATTAATATAGTAAATATTTTCTTATGACTTCCAAAAAGGAGGAGGTTCTCAATTCGTCGGAATATATTTTTTTTATGTATGTTTAGCGATAATTCTTTACAACCTTTTCCGATTTCTAATATTCGTTAGTATTTTTTAGATAGGGGGTACCTCAGGGGTGGTAAATGTAAATTTGGTCAACATGTGGCAATTGCATATGCACGATTTTGTAGTTGGTTTTTTGAAATTACTTTTAATACTTGTCTCATTAGGAAAAAGTCAGTGGTTTTTAAAATATTTACCCTACAAATTTTTATTATAATACTTATGCCTATATCACATGAGTTTTGTTGATTTTACTAAGTTTAATCACATAATTTCTTGGTTACGTATGTATCTCGATTAGCAGGAATATTGTTTTAAAATGTTTTAGGTTAAATCGTCACATTTTTCAGTTAAAATATTTATTCCCAAGGTGCATTTATATACCGAACTACAGAAATACAATTTATATATACAAAAGATAATAAAACAATGTAAAAAAGATTACAAACTAAAAACAATAGTCTCTAACACATATTTTATTTATAATAATTTACAAGCAAGGGTTAAAATTTTATTTAAATGTTGCCATACATTTCAAAGCAGAAAAAAAGGAAGAAGAGCGTTTATAAGGTGTGATAAGCTAATTATGGATGGAAATGTCGCTGACAAAACAATAATACTCAAGAATATTAAATATTCTAGTAAAATTTGAGCCGTTTCCGACCAATCCAGTTATGCTCTAATTCTTTAAGTCCCTTTAAGTGCCTTGTTTGGGCATAAGGCCCAACTTATATGATTGCCATAAATATTTTATTAAATAAGTCAACCCTCCGGGGCTACGCCTATGGCTAGTCGTGGTCAATCATTCGTATAATACACTAGAACGATGACCAATTTAGTAAATACATATTCGAAAAATTGCCGGAGACATTAGTCTAATGAATGATGGGAGAGATAATATTCTGGAGCATGCACCAATTTATATATAAATGGTCTGCGTAGCAGAGAAAGTGAGTCAGTTGAAGCCGAGATATAGTTGAAGATAGACATTCTAATTGGTATATTAATTAGACTATACCTACTGTGAAATAAAAATCCCGCTGAGATAAATTTAATTATAAATAAACTAGTAATAAGTATAAATAAAAAATAATAATAAACTGTTTCTAAAAAAAAATAAACGTTACAATGTGTTAAATATGGAATATTGTAAATAAATAGTGAGTAAAAATGGCTAAAAAATCAAGTGATTAAAAAGTGACGGAGTTACGCCGGGAACTAGAAAATCTCGAGTTGGAGAATACAGGAAAAAAGCAAAGCTGACAGAGCGGCCCAAAGAAGCATTTAAAAGAGAACGTTTGGATCCGGAAAGTACCTATTTTCTGATAATGCCCCTTTTATCATTTTTTCTTTGAAAAATAAACTGTCTGCAATAAAAACTAAAGTTTTTTTAAATATCTCTTCTATAAAAAATGTCTCCCTTAGAAGAAAAGTGGTCTTCTGATACGACTTCTATGAAAACCGAAATTACTACTGATGTTTCTTCTATAAAAGACGATATTTCTTCCTTAGATTATATAGTTTCTTTTGATATTTCTTTCTTAGGTCCAATTCAGATGGTACATCAAGACATCCACACGACACAAAAGCAACATGTCGCTCGAATGTCACTGTCATATATTCACACGGCGCGATACGACATGGAGGGGATACGACAACTCAAATACATGTTTCCGATCAAGATTTATAATAAGTTGCCAGTCAACAGTTGCCAAGCGATACAGCTGTTTTTAGAAAATGTCCTCCGAACGAGAACGAGATAAAAATTTAAAAATCACTATGGCAATTGAAAAATTCCCGTGTTTGTATAATTTTAAACGGGCAGATTTTTTAAGAAAGGATATCGTTCTCGCGATATATGGATGTACCCAATAGCTTCTTCTCTTCACTAGAAAGAGAGTCTTCCTCGCTGCTGGACATCTTATAAACAGTTTTGCGATAATTTGGTTTTGTATTCCAATAGTAACTGAAATCGTGTCACCTCGTCCAAATGCAAACATACGACGGCAACGTTTGAATGACGTGTTTAACCGTATGGGCCTTAGAAGCAAAGGTATCTTCTGAAATATCTTTAATGGAAATTAAAGTCTTTTTTGATTCCTCTTCTAAAAGAAATAAAACTTATTTCATTGAGGAGAGAATGTCTTCCATTATGAAAAAAATAAAAAAAATTAAAAGAAGATAGAAAAAATAGAGAAACCAAAAGAGGCCAAGGACGGTGAAATAAAGTGCCATGAGTTGGAGTCAAAGTTGAAATTAGTAGATTTATAAATTCTGTCCATGTTGGAATTTTCGACATAAAAGCTGGAATGCACCAACTACCTGAAATAATTCGAAATAGCGGCGAAAGCAAACGAATGGTCTGAAAGATAAAAGGTAATACATTTGGTCACCGCTCTTCGAAGAGACGCTTTAGATATCTGTTAGATCAGTGGTTACCAAAGTGTGCGCTGCGGCGCTCTGGTGGGTATAGAGTAAACAGGGGAGCCGTGAGGAAACTAAACTTAGGTATTCGCATTGCGGCTACAAAATAAACAATTCAAATCCCGCTGTATGTGTGGGTTACACGCCAGATGGACCCAGGGTTATAGAATCTGATAAGGGCCTTTTTTTTAGAAGCTCACCAGAAAGACCTGCTCTTTTCTGTCAGAAATTTCTGTTTCGTAAATCTCGTAAATCTGGCATCTTTAGTGTGCCTAGACAAAGTACTAAACCTGTAAGTGCACCGCAATCTGACAAAGCTTAAGAACCCCTGTGTAAGACTATACCTGTGGAAGAGGCCGATGAATTGAAACAACTAAAAAAAGAGACTAAACATTTCATATGGACACGAATACCTGGAGCAATTGTATCAATCACAATTAAATAATCGCAAACAAAAACGTCAAGAATACGGAGCAGACATGCCAGGTTTGCTTATCCATCAGCCTCAGAAAATATGATGGAATGTTTAACTAACCAACCATTTTTTGATGACTCCGTGACCATGATATGCAGTTAATAATCCGTCTAGTCCTTTATAAAACATTGGTCTTAAGAATAAGGCAGCTACCTAAAAGATAAAAGATAAAAGATACACTCGAGCAATTGGTTAACATGAAGAGCCTTACAAGAAGATGAAGACAAATACCACCAGGTATTAGAATTGCGGTGAACTAGGATATTTACGCTGTTCATGTAAAAGTCCTAGGGTCACAACAAACCAAGACAACACGCCACACGAAAACTAAAGCGGGTCGGCCTGGAGAGGGTAGCTTCGACCCGAAATCGTTCCAAAAACCCTCTCATACTGATAGCCTCCTTAAAATTTTGCGATGATAGTGTATACGTGGAAGGCAAGTAAATAGTAGAAAGTAAACACTGTTAGTGGATATTGGAGCAACCAGACCATTATACGACCCACAACTGTAAATACCCGCAAGAGACGTCTACCAACAAAATGGCGACTGCAGACTGCCACAGGTGAGAGTGCCAACATCTACTGGGAAATCCAGGTTTATTTATAAATTGGTACAGAAACTTAAAAAAATGCTCCTTCGATAATACGTCAACATTTTTCAATCATATCTAATAGGAATAATGTTTAGAGTGAAGCAAGAGGAGGCGTACTCTTAAATAAAAAGAATTAAAGCAGGTGCTATGACGGGTTTTTTACTTATTTATACACCAGTGTTATCACTCAACATGTGTTAAAATAGCGACATTTGAAGATGACACTGCGATATTAGCAGTTGGCCGAATTAATACAGAGACCTTAAAAAAAATTCTATAAAACCTGCTAAAGTATCAATCGATGGACACAACTGAAAAATTAAAATAAATCAAGCTAAATCAGTTCATGTTGATTTTACTCTTCGAAAAAGTGAAAGAAAATAAATCGGAATAAATAATGATGTTATTTCGTATAATTCGGAAAAATATCTAGAGGTGAACTTAAATGTATTAAGAGCTTGATCTTACATTTAAAAAACGTATTGGCTCCTAGGAAGAAAATCCAAGCTGTCAGTGTACAACAAACTGTTGATTTTTAAACAAATTCTAAAACCTGTATGGATATATGGCATACAGCTACGGGGATATGTCAGCAAGAATATCATCAAGATGATACAAGTTTGACAAAATAAAGTCTTAAGATACCTCGCTGATGCACTTTAGCTCTATCTTCTATCGAAACGATTATCTTAGAGACCTGAAGATGCCAACAGTCGATAAAGAAATAAAGAATCTTCAATGACGAATCGTTATAGTTACTGGACAACTCTAAACTCAAGAGAAGGTTCAACAGGAAGAAGCCACTTGAGCTATTGCAGTAAATGGTAATGTTAGTTCTAGTTTAAACAGTTTAATAAGTCATCACGCCAACTTCTGATGCTTTCCTAGAGAAATAATTAAGACAGCTCAATAGGGACTTGTTGGATAAGTAATTAGTTCATAAGATTTTTAGAATAAAATTGTAGGTTAGTCAATAATGACTAGTAAAACTAAAAAAAAATAACCTAGTCACAATCTTGTCTTGTCAGTATTACGACATTGAGACTCAATTATCATGGTGGCAAGCATGTAAGGTGTTAAAATTTTTTTACCAAGCTCTATCCAGGATTTCTAATATCTGTGATTTTATTTATCAATTGCATTGTAGGTTCTTGTTACATTTTGGAACAACTGAACGTTAATTTTATTATAAAACAAGGAGTAGAAATGTACGAGCTGCTACTTGGGGAGACTGATAGGCCTGAAGATGTACAGAGTGTGAACTATTGCAGAAAATATCACCATGATGTACCTGATACTGCGTCAGTGTCGTCGAAAGGTAATATTTAATACATTCATATTCTAATATGTATGTCACTTAAGGTGATCACAAATTAGATTGGTCTCTATATAGTCCTGATCCAAATCTGATTGAATGTTTTGAAATTTTAAATCGTGTTATTTCAGCTTCAAGATTTTCTAGAGCTTCTAAGTACACAACAGTGTCTTCGATGTCCCCAAGGCCATCGACCCCAAATATTAAAGATTCACATCGAGAAACAGGTAGTTGGGTGTCTAGGAAAACGACTGTATCGCAAAAACACAAAATGGGATTTCCTGACGGTGAGTGGTAAATAGTCTTACAATTGGGTTACAAGAACATTTATTAGAGCTACCTTACAGTTCGCGATTGCCCTTGCTGCAAGTGAGATTGCAGCAATTTCTATTTATAGCAAAAGCAATTGTTATCTGTATTACACTTCGCAATTCATTAAATTACTAAACAGGTACTTAGTTAACGCATCGGTTTAGCCAATATAGGTACCAAAAGAATAAGAAAAACATACATGAAAAGAAATAATATTCTAAGAACAGTGAGATTATATGATTTCTTTTGTTAACTGATTTAATAATCTGTAGGAGATAAAAAAAGTAAAGTAAGGATTATTCCAATACAATTTATTTTGATTTATGTTTTTTGTATGTTTATCAAAAACAGAAAACAACTAGGTATCGAAAACGTGAAACCTATTAATGTTGAATTTATTCTGTTTTTTTTTTAAATTGGTTTTTAAAGTTATGTACGTTCGGCGCAATTCAAATGTGAACCCTCGTTGTCATTGGATTTTTTAGTGAAATTAATTGTTGCAAGTCTAGCTTGGACCAGTGGTGTTACAAAGAGTAGGTAGAATATTGAGAATATAAATATATTAGTGAGATAATCAATTTCAAAAGTTGCGCAAACTTGTCGGCTAAAGATCCACAGCATTCCTTGAAAATCCCCAAACAAATCCCAATAATACACATTTAGAATAATGAAATATATTTTAAAATCACCAAGATAAAAACAAATTTAATGAAAAATTGAAAAAATCTGTCCACCTGTGGATTTGAACCCACCTTGTTACGGTTCAAAATTCAAAAGAAATATTGAGATGCTTTTACCATAATAAATAAAATATTATTGAGTTTTAACTGTTAATTAAATTATATTCATAATTTTTAATAAAATCTATTAAACGAACATTTGGTATAGTAGCTTTGAGTAAAAGTTTCTTTTAATTATTGAAGGTCTATTCCTCATGTTCTATGTGATAACTAGAATAAAAATATACCTTCCATTGCCCAATTTGTTTGCAAAAAAGTTTAAGCTTTTGTCATTCCATTGCCCAAATTGTTTGCAAAAAAGTTTAACCTTTTGTCTGCTACTTCTAGTGCTATGTAGATCCGTTCGAATATTTTGTAGTTAGGTTCTAGCAGTCTAAAAGAAAATAGAAACGATTTGAATTAGATAAATGGTTTCAGGTTTATTTTCTTTTGTTTATTTACATTATTCTGACTTTGTCATTCACTTTAGACAGCTGTTTTATAAATTGGAATTAGGTGAGAAATTGGCTATTTATATATTTTTAAGTTACCTGACATGATTTATTATCATTTCCTGTGAAGGTCATCTCAACTTGTTTTATGTATATTCTGCTATCACTACTTTTCTGGTACCCCTTTAAGTAGCATGTGCTTTTGAGGAACTTTTCATAAGGATTCATATACTAAAAAAGAGATCAATTGAACATAGAATTACTTATACCATTTGTTGGTAACTAAAGTATACTCGTCATAGGATTTGGTTTTCAATATAAACAAAACTCACATCAAATAAGGCCACATTTCATCTTCAGGTAACGTACAATCTTAAACCATCACTTATTTGCATTTCGTATCATTCGATATTATAACTAAACTAGTAATTTGTATATTTCAAGCCTTTTTCTTTCCTTTCCTAATTTCGCTTTTGTTTACTACTTCGTATTCTGGAACTTATTCGTGTATCTGTTTTATTTGTGGAGTCAACTGTTGGATACTACTACTACTAGATACCCAATTACCATTTACATCCCTGCAGGTAACCTCATTAACCGCATACATCTGAAATAGAACTTAAAACATACAAGTAAATAGGACCTAGGCTTATCATTTGAGGCTAATAGGCTGATAGGACACAACCACCCTCGTCAAATCAAGCCCTGGCATACGTTTGTATTTATTCGACTCCCAGGTAAAGCTATTTCAACTTATTAAAATAATGCCAACTAAAAACACTCTCAGGATTGAACCTAATAGGACATCTTCACCCTCAGAGCTCAGGAGTATCCTGAAAAATTGTACATAATATTTTTTATTTAACCAAATAATAACCTATGATTTATTTGTATATATTAACTGTAAACCAGCCCGAATAGATATATATTTAAGCGGTACGCCAGCTGTAAATTTCAATACTTACCATTTTGTTTGAAAGATTCAATTAAAACATACATTTTTCTGAACACCATGTTAATTTATAATCTTAACTATTTCCAACATAACAATAAAAATAATAGATATACTGTCAGAAATTCTTTTACTTTAATTGATAGAACTGGCCTGTGCCCAAGTTAGCATAATAGGCAAGTCTAGGTAAACAATACCTACCCTCTCTCCCCTGAGCTAGTATTTGAAACCAGTCAATAATTTTTAAAAGTGGGATAAGCATCCTCAAAGGGTTATCTCGCATTAACCCCCTCTTTTGTTTGCTCACGTAGGTCGTGGCAACCTATCGGTGTTCTATGCACACCGCTCTTACCAACTAAGCTATCAGGGATCTATTTTACTTTTATAGGTGCCTTTTTGTTTAATCGGTATTATCTATATCAAATGTGAGATAAAACATTAAAATAATATTATATTACAGAAATAATTTATTTTAATAGAATATCAAAGGTTGTAGCAAAATTGGAAAAAAAAATTTAAGAGAGCATACATTTATATGTAAACCTTTATTTTATTTAGTTATGCAGAATTTTTGTGTTAGGGAAATATTTTTAAGTAAGTTTTGTGATGGATTCAAATATTTCAAATTTTGGATAAGAAAGAAGCTGCATTGCATACATAAAGTAAACTATATGGTGCGTTTACATACCCAGACAGCACACTATAGCCCTGGCATATGCCACTAATCTTTGCCAAAATATATTGCCATATTTATGAAACCGCAGTCCAGATTCTTCCCGTTAGCTCCAACTAGGTCCCAATAATGAAGTTATTCGTGGCGAATAACTAGAGAGGAGAGATAATTGTTACGCAGCACCCTGCAGCGTGCTGCAGTCGTCATAAGTGAAGGTATGAGTAAAAGAGGAAAGGGGAATATTCGAGAAATAATATTCAGTGTTAAGAAAAATCTGGACAGTTTGAAATGGTTCGAGAAGGTGAAAACAAGCTATTTAAGTCGGTGATCCTGACGTCAGGGGGTCAGTTTTATGATAGACGTTATACGTTAATGTTCTCAGTTGTATAGTTGAATTATTGTAAAAGTTGAGTTGAAAGGCCGATTCTCACTGTAGTTCAGGTCACGTTTCGCTCACGTTCCACTCAAGGCGCGATGCAATATTGTGACAAGCTTTTTAAATGGAAATATTCATATTTGGCATTTTATTCAGAGAACGCTCATGATCTCTGACCGCGGTCTTTCTCCTTGCGGATATGATATTTTGAACGAACCGTGAGTGGACCTCTGCGTCAGTGTTTACAAACAACAATCAGACAAGCCATAACTTCTCTATTCTCTATCGGTGAAATTGCCTCCCAAAATGTAGTATTTTGGATTAAACAAATTTGCTAAAATTTTATTAAATATGTATTGAAATTTATGTTTTGTCATAAGAAAATATTGCATCGTCTACAAAGCTTTTATATAGAGTAAACAATTTGCTCTCGGTTTTTCGTTTTCTTAAAATATCGTGAATACACCGTCCGACGTTTCTGTGTTGTTGTTTATCATCTAAACATATTGCAATTGTCAGCTAAATCAGTTATTAATAATTTGTTCATCTTATAACAAGCATGTGTCAATCCTTTTCATAAAATTAAATAAAAATATTAAAATGAGCATCATCCTTGATTGTACGTGGATCGTGACCGTAGCGTGTGACCCGAGCGCCTAGTGAGAATTGACCTGAGGTCTCCTCTCGTTATCAAGTTAATTCTTTCTATTGTGTTGTTTTGAATGTTTCTGAAATCTTGAATTATCCTGTTTATTTTCACCCCTGCAGCTAATTGTCTGGCTACAATATTTTTTTTTTTAGCCTTTGACAGTCGCTTTGTTCTTAGCTCATCTGCATATCCGACAAGAGATTTTATTGATCTTAATAAAAAATATTAATAAATTTAACATTAAAATTCATAAATAAATACTACTAATTACCATTTGTTGATACTTTTACTAGAATTCTTGAGAATGCGAAAACTCTACTTAGATAATATCATAAAGATCAGTGGTTTTCTATATTTTCATCACTGATCGATTGTCAAGTTTAGAAAGTTTTAAATATAGTGGCGTCCAATATTCTCTTTCAAAGTCATATGAGTTGTTTAATAACCTGACCCACTTCCCAAAATCGTAGAGCTTAAAACACTATGAACATTTATAAAATAATAACATCACATTACAATATTTCGGACTTTACATGACCTACTAAATCCTCAAAATAAATTTATTTAACAAGTAACAAGTAACAAATCACTTCTATTACAATTTTGTAAAATTAGCATTCTTCACCATTTTAAAATTTGTTTCTAGTCTGACAAGAATAATTAACTTACCTATTTTCCAGTATTCTCCAAGATGTAAATTCTTTAAAATTACTAAAATTTAAAACAGATTCTTTAAAACAGATTCTTTATTAGTTATATGGTGAATATTAAGCAAATATCTGTTTCAATAATTCTCAATATTGGACATATAATGTTTATTTTGTTTCTGCCCAGTATATTCTGGTTGAAATTATTTTAAATGCCTGTTTGTTGTAGATGCACTTGAAAATTTAATTTAACAAAATTCACAAATCACATTCTATTAGCTGCAAAATATTCACAAGATTTGTATAATAACCTTATTGTTCTTATCCTAAAAATAATACAATATAAAAAGATGATTAATCCCTGTGATTCCATATTTCCTGTTGTAATCTACAAAATAAAGTTCAGTTTATTTAAAATTAACCCATTAACGCTGGAGTTTTTAAATGTTTGAAATTTAACTTTATATTACAATATTATTTGTCTAGATGATCTACCTAATAAAAAAG